AATTTTTGTATTTTTAGTAGAGACAGGGTTTCACCGTGTTAGCCAGGATAGTCTCGATCTCCTGACCTCCTGATCCGCCCATCTCGGCCTCCCAAAGTGCTGGGATTACAGGCGTGAGCCACCGCGCCCGGCCTGTTTTTGTTTTTTAAGACAGAGTCTTGATCTGTCGCACGAGCTGGAGTGCAGTGGTGAGACCTCAGCTCACTGCAACCTCCACCTCCCAGGCTCAAGCAATTCTCCTGCCTCAGCCTCCCAAGTAGCTGGGATTACAGGCGCATGCACCACGTCCGGCTAATTTTTTGTATTTTTAGTAGAGACAGGGTTTCACCATGTTGCTTAGGCTAGTCTTGATCTCTTGACCTCGTGATACACCTGCCTCGGCCTCCCAAAGTGCTGGGATTACAGGCGGGGGCCACCGCGCCTCGTCTAATTTTTGTATTTTTAGTAGACAGTACAGTTTAGGTTTTGCCATGTTGGCCAGGCTGGTCTTAAACTCATGACCTCAGGTGATCTGCCCACCTCAGCCTCCCAGAGTGCTGGGATTATCGGTGTTAGCCACTGCTCAGGCCATCCTTAACAACTCTGAATTTTCCCGGGGACAAGTAAACCTTGTTTCCATTAACATATACACCTGCCAGGCCAGTGGCCCACGCCTATAATCCCAGCACTTTGGGAGGCCAAGGCGGGCGGGTCACGAAGTCAGGAGATCGAGACCATCCTGGCTAACACGGTGAAAACCTGTCTCTACTAAAAATACAATAAATTAGCCAGGTGTGGTAGCATGTGCCTGTAGTCCCAGCTACTCAAGAGGCTGAGGCAGGAGAATGGCATGAACCCAGGAGATGGAGCCTGCAGTGAGGCAAGACTGCACCACTGCACTCCAGCCTGGGCGACAGAGCTAGACTCCGTCTCAAAAAAAAAAAAAAAAAAAATTTAGCTTCTACCCCAATATGATCTCAATTGTGTACCTTCGTGGACAGTCACCTGTGTGTCTGTGTCTATGTACAAAAAAGGTCTAAGCCGGGCACAGTGGCTCACACCTGTAATCCCAACACTTTGGGAGGCTGAGGCAGGTGGATCACTTGAGGTCAGGGGTTCGAGACCAGCCTGGTCAACATGGTGAAACCTCGTCTCTACTAAAAATATAAAAATTAGTCAGGTGTTGCACGCCTGTAGTCCAAGCTACTCAGGAGGCTCAGGCAGGACAATCACTTGAACCCAGGTGGTGGAGGCTGCAGTGAGCTGAGATTGTGCCACTGCACTCCAGCCTGGGGGAGAGAGCGAGACTCTATTTTAAAAAAAAAAAAGTCTGAAAAGAAATATACTAAAATAATTGTAATGTTATTTTTCTTAGGATAGTGGGATTATTGGTCATTTTCTGCTTTATATAACCCAAGCTTCATTTGCCTTCTAGCAATTCAGTCAACATGTAGACCCAGAACACATACACTCACGTGCTCACACACATACATGACAAGCCACGTCCACACAGATATCCCACTCCCACATACACATCCCTCTCCTGCAGACACATGCTCCCACACATCTCACCACACACATATTACACACACACATATTACACACATCACATACATAACTGCTCACACACACACACGCTCACTCTCATTCACACGCACCTTCACTCAAATTCAAGGCTAACAGACTGGAAATGATACAGAACAAATAAAAGGTGATGCCAGGCCGGGCGCTATGGCTCATGCCTGCAATCCCAGCACCTTGGGAAGCTGAGGCCTGAGGAGGGTCGCTAGAGCCTAGGAGTTCAATAATATGCCTGGGCAATATCACTATACTATACATCATCTCTACAAAAATAATTTTTTTTAATTTTTGTATTTTTAGTAGAGACGGGGTTTCACCATGTTAGCCAGGATGGTCTTGATCTCCTGACCGCGTGATCCACCCGCCTCAATCTCCCAAAGTGCTGGGATTACAGGTGTAAGCCCCCGCGCCCAGCCAATTTTTTTAAATTAGCAGAGCATGGTCATGCCTGCCTATAGTCCCAGCTGCTCAGGAGGCTAAGATGGGAGGACTGCTTGAGCCCAGGAGGTGGAGGTTGCAGTGAGCTGAGATCTTGCCACTGCACTCCAGACTGGGTGACAGAGTGAGATCCTGTCTCAAAACAAACAAACAAAAAGGTGCAGTCAAATGTTCCTAGGAACTTCCTACTGCCACCAGCGGCGGTGCCGGAATAAAAAAACGTAGGGAGATCTGAGCATCCACACTTCCTTCAGCAGCCTATTTCTGCAAGTACTGAAGACAGACAATGCCTACCAAGGTTACTGAAGGACATTCTCTGGAAAGAATCAGTGGCTATTAAAATACAAATGCTTAAGTGACTGTAACAATAACATGTAAAGTCATAATCTTTAAAAACAAAACAAAATTAAAGTAATCCTTTCTCACAACACTCCTAGAATTTATTTTACAATCTCTGCTTCATGATGGGTGGTAGTAAATACAAAAGCATCAGCCCTCGCAGCATGAAAGGGTCATGTCAATCTCCAGAGATGGTTGAAGCCTTAAAAATCACCTATTCCAACTTCATACCTAATTCCTGGATGCATCTGACTATAAATTCCTGTTTCAAGAAAATATAACCAGAAAGCTCCACTTGCTCCTTTCATCTGCTGATTCCTGCTAACATAACACTGTGTTACATTACACCACACCTGATCTATCACCAGATGATGTAATTAGATCCAAACACACCATGACATTGCTAAAGAAAGAGGGACACAAAAGCCACCTGTATTATAAACAGGAGCTGCTTCTATTAAAAATTCAGATAATCCATTTAAATAATTTAAAATGCTACCTTCATAAACAGATTACACAGAAGACATTGAATATGATACCTCTGAAAATTTGATAAAAATTAAGATACTTGGCCGGATGCGGTGGCTCATGCCTGTAATCCCAGCACTTTGGGATTACAAAGTGGCGGGTCGATCACCTGAGGTCAAGAGTTCAAGACCAGCCTGGCCAACATGAAGAAACCCCTTCTCTACTAAAATACAAAAAATAGCCAGGCGTGGTGTCAGGCGCCTGTAATCCCAGCTACACAGGAAGTTGAATGAAGCAGGAGAATCGCTTGAACCTAGGAGGCAGAGGTTGCAGTGAGCTGAGATCAAACCATTGCACTCCAGCCTGAGCAACAGAGCGAGCAAGACTCCACCTCAAAAAAAAAATAAAATAAAATAAGATAATCCAGTTGTTATCATCAAGGACAGTAATGTGACTGGACTAAGAGTCTCTCATGTGCTCAATATTTTGAAATCTCAAGGTAGAAAGTACAAAAACTTATGATCTTTATTGCTGTTACCCAGTTTATCTGAACTGTTCCCTAGGGTTTTTTTAAAAAAATCATTAATGTTTTCAAAAGAATCGATATATTTTGGAAATACATACTGAAGCATTTATGGAAGAAATGATATAATGTCAGGAACTCACTTCAAAAATCATCTAGGGGTAGTAAGTGGGTAGTATACAGATGAACCAAGACTGCTGAAACTGAGGAATGGCTACAGGGTTACATAACATGAAAATCAACCTTTCTTTACCCTGTAAATTATCTGCTGCCGAACAGTAACTTAGCTTGAAGAAATCAAGAGCTCTCCTCCATCCCAGCAACCTGGTCCAAGTCCAGGCACTCAGATCATACCCAACATTGCTTCTTCCTAAGCCGTCCAGAAGAACAGACAGAAGGAGTAAATACCACAGGAGATCCCTTCCACTTTCCCATCCTCATCAAACCCCAAGTCATCCAGTCCTTGCCCCCAACCTTCGAATTCCACCAAGAGCTGTCAGAGTGAAGAATTTTGTCTCACTTCTACTTTGTGATGACAAGAAAGCTCACCCCCAAATAGCAACCCGAAGTTTTTCCCATTGTGATCATTAAGGGAGGTTATGACAAAAGCTGTTTCTCAAATAAAAATAATTGTATGAAAGTCAAAAAGTTATTATCGCAATAGGGATATTGTAAGCCACCACATCTAAGAAGAGGCATCTAAGGTCTAAGAGCCAAAAGATCTAGTTCTACCCCTGTGAGGCCTTGGGAGAGCTATATGAACCTTTCTGAGTTTCTGGTTTCTTACCTGCAAAGTGGGGATGAATCATGCTTGCCTACCATCTCAGAGAACTGTGGTATAATCCAGTGGAAACATACCTGAGCCTCACAGAAGCTCTCTATCAAAGTTAGGTTATGGTAACAAGGAGCAAAGGTGGTACTCTCCTGTCTTCTTTGCTGTACTAAAGCAAGAGTATGTTTGGGAGAAGACACAGTGCACTAGCCAACAGCAACCAAGGGAGCTCAAGGTGCTCTCCAGGTCAGAGGCAAGAAGGAAACACAGCAAAACACCTAGACCAGCAACCACCATCCACACTGACGATACCGGAAAGTATCAGTCACATATTTTACTGCTCATTAGAGTAGGTGGAAAACTATCCTGACAATATCCCAACTGGAGCTAAGCACGTGAGCAGTGCAGGCTGCCCCACAGGCACCTGTCTGTACACCTTCTTAGTGTGAACTCAGTAAGGAACCCTGATTTATCAGGCCCCTGTTTTTTCTTTTTTTTGTTTTTTTTTTTGAGATGGAAGTCTCGCTCTCGCCCAGGCTGGAGGGCAGTGGCACAATCTCAGCTCACTGCAAGCTCCGCCTCCTGGGCTCACGCCATTCTCCTGCCTCAGCCTCCCAAATAGCAGGGACTACAGGTGCCTACCACCACACCGGCTAATTTTCTTGTATTTTTTAGTAGAGACGGGGTTTCACCATGTTAGCCAGGACGGTCTCGATCTCCTGACCTCGTGATCCGCCCGCCTCGGCCTCCCAAAGTGCTGGGACAGGACTTCGCAAGGTCTTGACAATGCCTTTCCACTCCAGGGCCGCGTCGACCGGTCCCACATCAACCCCGCAGGCCAGACGCGCAGTTGCCCCGTTCCCACGCCCCGGCAGGGCCGCTCCGTACCTGCTCTGCCACCGTAGAACCGTGGCAAACTGGACAAGTCCTCGATGCGGACGAAACCGTCCCCATCCCCGTCCAGGGCAGTCGAACACGGCTCGGAGGCGGGGGCCGTCCTCCTGCTCCCGCGGGCTCGCTCGGGAAGGGGTGGCGTCTGGCTGAGATCCGAGGGCTGCGGCGGGGACCCGGGACCCTCCTCCAGCGCCAGCTCGGCCCGCCGTGGGCGCGGGAAGGGAGAGAAGAGGGTCGACCTCGCCCGCGCTCGGTGGCTGCTAGCCTGGACCCCTGCAAGCGGAAAGGCGCGCTCTCCGGGCAGCCCGGGGGCCACACTCCTCGGGCTTCTCAGTCCAGGAGAACAACGGAGTCAAGCGTTCTGGAAGCGGGCGCCTCGGAGCGGGGCCTGTGGGCCGGCTTCCGGGGCTCTCGGAGCCCTGCCCAGCGGCCGAAGCGTGGCGGCGGGGCGGGGCCTCCCCGGGTTCCGGGGCCTCCTCCAGCCCGGGGCCGGCCCCGGCGCTCCAGCGCGCCCCGCCATCCGCAGCGGCTCGGGGCGCAGCGGCTCATCCAGCGGCCGGGGCGCACCGGATCGGAGCGGCGGCGAGCGCTGCCGAGCGTAGCTCCGCAAGGCGCCCGGCGCCGCTGTGCGTCGCCGGCCGTCCGGGGCCGCCGGCTCCGGGTCG